CTAATCGGAAAAACCTCTGCACCGTACACGTGTAATCAACGAGCGGCTAGGATCATCTCGAGATCCGTAACGACGGAATACTTGAGTGCTCCGACAACCTGGCAGATCGAAACATCTTCTGCAACGGTCAAATTCCTTCTACGAATTAAAAGTCGCCACATGTCCAAAATGGAATCGAGTGAACTTCTCTGCCAGGTCGAGATCGAACCTGACAGAGAGGGGGCCAATGTTTGTGGGTAAAAATACCAAGGACACGTGGAAGACACTTATAGGTGTTTGAAGACTTGAATAAAAGGAATTGCACAGGTCCACCTCGGCACTGTCGAGGTGACCGGGTTCACCCATTACAAAAAAGGCCAAGTATAGACGCCAAGGTTCGACCTGGTTGGGGTTCGATCTGCTCGGAACCGAACAAGTCCGACATGAGAAAAGACATATAACCGCCGATCGTGTGTACTGTCGGATTCACCACCTATAAATAGAGGGCTTCATTTCACGCTCAGGTATCGAATCTCACCTCGAACTAAATACGGAACCCGACCTATACTGACTTGAGCGTCAGAGTGTTTACCCTCTTGTGCAGGTCCACTCTAAGTGTTCAGGTTGTGACCGGAGACCGGGTTCGAGCTTGATTCGTGAAGAACCGTTGTGCAAACTCTTGCATTAACATCACCAAATAATTCTATGGGAATTTTATGCATCCATTAAATTTAAGAAAATATATTTCAAATCACAAAGAAGATGTTTCTTCTTTAACCTATAGTTTAAAATTTATTAAATTTAATGTATCCATTAAATTCGTTGGCCACCATTTTCGAACTACTTGCTTTTGTATAATTCATAAGGCTATATGAGATGCGTGTTGAGCCCTCCTTGTAGTTAGTCTACTATTTTCTAGTAGGTTGTGAATGCTTAGCAATGAGATTCACCTAACCATGCTCCATAAACTATTTGAAATGCGTGAATATTTGACAATGAAAGTTGCGAGTATTCATGATTTGGGTATCTCGAAAGGGAACCAGGTTTATTTGAGTATTTAGCTACTTCGATTTCTTAGAGTGTTTTCAAGTGAACAAGTAATCCAGTGTTGTAATTCCCCCGCCCTCATTTC